TCCACGAAACTTCCAGGTTCTTGTTTTCTGACAGATTTAACAAATTGACGTCAGTTTTTCATGCGTCTGTCCTGTTAATGTTCATGAATTTCGTTATAACATTGTCAAAGTAGCTGTGGATCCATGAGGCGAAAGCCGAGTAGATCTACGGACTACTTTGACAATGTTATGACTAAATTCATCGTCAATAACAGGACAGACGTATGAAAAACTGATGTCAATTTGTTTTTTTTACGATAACAAATTGTCAGATTGTCCGCTCTCGCTCGTTGACGCATCGCATAAATTATAAAATCATTTGTCTGTCCGCTTATTGACAATGAAAATTAGCCAATGAGCGCGCGAGAGATTCTGCAGTTATCGTAAACAGTCCAATTCAGTCCTTTTCTAGCCCTTCCTGCTGTTCCCTAGAGTAAAGGTCCGAATGACGTCAGATTTTCGTCAAACTGCAGCAAATTTTCTGCTTTACCTTCCCTAGACGGTTACTTTAATCCTGGAGTTGAGTCTTCTTTAGATTTTCTTTGTTATAGTACCAAGACCTGCATCCTAACACGAGAATAGGCTTGACAGAATAGGAACTAGTAAAGATTTTCATTGACATGGTCCACAGAGAGAGATGACTTTTGTTCTCAAGATAACAAGACAACTTGCACCATGCCGTACCTGGCCATCGATATCTTCCTTAGGTTTGTGGGCTGTTCCGGGAAATTGCGTCCACGAAAAGTGTTGCTTGTGTTCACGGCAACCCTAACAACCTGCTCCTGCAGTGCTTCGGACCCTTAGTCGATCGGATATAAAGAGGATCATCTGCCAGAAGTCTGAGATGTTCCTCTTTTTGCAGTAAGGCAAACTGCATTCGGTCTTCTTGTCTGGTGTCATATTGAAGGCAAGGGGCCTAAGCAGACATCCAGGGTAGAAACAAGTGTTTAAGTTAAGCAACTCTGTCACGTCACCTCATCGCTAAAAGCTCTCTTGATATACGCCGGGGTGATTTGTCCCGTTCTGGTTGCTGACAGTGCCTCTTAGTCAGGCCTTGCGGGTTACCTGATGCAGGCTGTTTCAGGACTTCCTGCTTGGAAGTAGTCTTTCCATCATTACTCAGACCGGTTTACATTGAACATATTTTGGGAACTGTGAACAGAAATAATCTAGCTGATTATAGATTAGTAGATTATCTCGGAGTCGCTACAGAGTTACAAAATAAAGAATAACAGAACGCTATCCAGTCCTTAAGGATTCAAACTTACCCCCATTTGGACACTGGGAAGGCAATCTAAAAATACTTTAATTTTTGGCAATTTTCGGTACCTAACTACAGATGCAATCTTAAAGTTTACCTAAAATGATTATAAAAGATTGAAAAACATTTCTCAGTCCAAATTGCATTAAAACCAAACGTGATGAACGACAACTCAACACACCTTTTCAATATTTTTTAAACCAAGAAATGGAGATGTAACAGGGTTTCCTAGACACCTTTCAAGATCCTGTACTGGGTGACTCTAACTGAAATTTTTGGCGCTGATCAATGTTAGAGACTTAAAATTTAATAAGCGTTTGAAGTAAAGAACCGTCAAAGGCTTCAGGGAAAACAGGTGTGTTCTTGTGTTTCAATAAGGGTGCGTTCTTGGGCGGGGTAGGGTGGAATCCAAGATTGGCTTCTTAAATCCAAAAAACGGATTTTGTGGTTCTTACTAAACAGATTAGTCCAAGATAACTCGACTCATGGTTCATCATCAAAGAAACCGAAGAATCATTGCCCAAAGCGGATTCTTCGGTTTTTTCGATGTACCATTATCTGAGTGATCCTCAGTGGATTAATCTGTTTAGTACAGAAGTGCAAAATCCGCTTTTGGATTTTCCCAAAGACTCGCTTGAAGCTTCATTTACATCGTTCTGCCTTAACTCAATTCTACATCCTCTAACGCTTCAACTTTTTCCCTCGTCAGTTCACAAGTTGTGATCACGCTACCCAATGGCGAGCCGAGCTCGTAACCTAGGTAGTAGCATTCCTTCACTTTTGCGATCTAGAATCGCGTTCCTGAAATGGCGGTTGAGAACGAAGCAATATAGAAGAGGATTTGCGAGAGAGTTCAACTGTACGAGACTTTCTGATCACCGGAAAAACGAGTTTGTTCAAAGGAAGGGAACAGTTTCTCCGAAGGGAAGGACAACGACTAATGGAAAGTAACATATCAGCAACATAGCTGTAAGTGTAGCAGTGGCTTTGGCAATTTTTCTTTCGAGCTTCTCTTTGAACACAGCCGGACCACGTCGTATATCGTTAACTTTCTTTTGGCGTTTAAGGGCTCAAGGTAGTTATAGCTGACACCTGCTACTTTCAGAATGCGGATGGGAGTTGTCGTGAACACGGCTAGAAGCCAAGTGTTTTTTGCAAACTTTTTTCACCTGTTTCTTTGTGACAATGACATTGTCTATAATGCACCGTCTCACCGCCACATACCGCTCCCAAGCAATCACAGTCAAATGATACAAAGACGAACAGACTGCACCGTACAGCACCAGCTGATTTGCAAACGCTCTCACAAAAAGAGATGTTGACAATCTTGCAGAGAACTAACGCGTCTACAGTGATACTCAAAGGCATAGAAATAGCTCCCACGAATAAATCCGCCACTGCCAAACTAGCCAACAAAATGTTCAATTTGGTTTGCATCTCTCTTTTCCGCTTTACCGTTTCAGTGTTGACTACGATGTTTAGGAAAATGGTGATGGGACATGCAGTTTATATTATCGCCATTGCCGTGTAGAAAGTAGTCGTGTCGCTCAAAATCCATGTGAACATTGTTTTTTGGGGGCAGAAAAAGATCGACGGTGCCTGGCTTGATTCATTCAAAGCAAAATCTGTGGTGTTTGAGTTCATCTTGATGTAAAACAGAAAAGAAGATATGTCCGTGTAATTGCTCACTCAGAAAGACAGCCGTGATTGTGATCTCTTGGGTTGCTCACAAATAAATATTACCATACTTGACCTTTCGGCAAACGCCTTCTGAAGTGTCAAAGCTACGCTTTGTTTTGTTTATTTAACTTAATCCAAACTTCAGTTGACAGTGTGTGAGTTCCAAAAAAACCTGGCTAACATCAATTGATCCAAACTCGCGCTGTGAAATTCATCTTAGGATTTAATATAGGCATCCGTATGAGCTTCTGTAGAGTTTCTCGAATGAGGAAGGAACTAGTTTGTTACAAAAGAATTGCAGGGAAAAAACCTTTTCGGTACGTAGGCAATTTGCAGCTGGTTGTTAGACGTCAGCAAATCTCCTTAAAACTACTTAACAAAAACTCCTTGGGAGATTATCGGATTCACTGCCATTTTCTGTAATTTCATTTGTCAGCTTGTCAACTTGTTATACACTCCTCTTGACAAAGGAAGTCTGCTGCTCTGAAGAGCCAATTAACTTTCGGCCACGATTCCTCGCGTGGGGCATCCGGCTTCGTTTTTAATAAATCACCGGCCTTTGTCTCTCTTTCCACCTTAGCTTTGAATATATATAATGAAATCCGTCTCCGGCTGCCTATATGACTCTGCTTTGCGACACCAATGGACTGATGAGTTGATTTCTTTAATGAGCACTTATTGTGATACCTGAACCCCCGGGGAGGGGGGGGGGGTACTTTAGGAATTTCTGGGTGGGCATGTGCCACTGGGACCCTGGAACCCTTAGTCTATACTAAGAGCTAGTTCAGCTAAATTTTGCTGACCTATACTAGAGTAACCAGTATTAAAACCACCGATTTCCGTCTGAATCCCGATTTTTGACAGTTAATAATATCCAGTAGTGTTTTATGATAGTCATCTATCGACGATGTTGAGGCTGAGTTACAAAAATTTAAACTTGCCGATTTCATATTTAAATATTTTTGAGTGGCAATTCCTGGTTTCCTTAGTTTAGATAAAATCTTCAACCAACTGGTCAGTTTCGTGAAAAATAATACCCTATTTTAGACCCAAATGCTCTGATTTATATACCCTATGCTAGAGCAAACTGCTTGAAAACCATACCCTTCACAGCGGCACATACCTATGTAGCCCATATATGGCGATGCCCCCCCCCCCGTCCGGGCCTGAAACACGGCAGAAGTGGTCTTCCTTTTAGCGTTTCAGTTGCCGACTAAATTCGCGCCACCCGGCTGGGTCAGTGTGGGGTAATTAGTTCAGCTGTTGATAGCCGTCTGGTGAGAGTTTGTCGAATTAAAAAGACCAGTCCTAGATTTTCACGTTTTGGTTCAGGTATTAATAGCTTAAGGTGTGTGACTGTAAGTAGTAATTTGAATTTCGCGAGTCTTCCGAATTTTGAACGCGATTTAGCGATTTGTATTTTTAGTGAAACCAAGTCTGATGATAGAAAATATTTTGGTTAAAATGGACTTCCTGAGTTGAATACGTGAGTTTTACGGCATTATGAAAAAACTGTCAGTTAACATCCTCTCGCTTGGCATCAAAATATAATTATAACCCACCAATCACAATTCCATAGTTTGTTTTTTTGAAGATGCAGTGCAATTTGGACCAAATGCGCCTTTGTGATGCTGTCGTTCATATTAATTTTTTCGTTTAATTTCTATCATTTTAAATGCAGCGTGTGATTCAATTTCAGTTCTCGTTAACTTACAATAGGTTACTGTGAAGCAAAAATGCAAAAAAAAAAAAAAAAAAATAGTACTTTAAAGGTAACAAGACGGATCATATGGAAATCAATGGAAATTTGGTCTTAGAAACCTTTTCTCGTGTACTTTGAAAATATTACGCGACATTATTTTAAGCATAACTTGGTGCATAGTTAATAAAAACTATTGAAAACAGCTTTATCGACTACATCATCCTTCCCTCTTCATTAAACATTATTCGTCCCACTTTCTCATGAATAGATACAGCTTTGTTAATTACAGGTCTCAACATTTAAAATAGGTTACGAAATAAAATTCGCAATTTTATTTTCAAATTTTTATTCATAGGAAAATTTGGCACCATTATAAAATGCTCTCACTTGACCACAATTTTTTTGCGATATGATCTAGACGTTTCACAACTAAAATAATTGGCTTCAGGAACACAGTAGAATCTCTTTTTTGCCTGGACGAATTTATATTCCTCGTGTTTTCATAACTAATAATATATTCGACTACATTATTAAGAACAAAAGAAAACCGTATCCATTGCGATCCAATTTTGTTCCCTGTTTGTATTACAGAAAGTATTACGGTGTTAATTGCTAAAAGGATTCTATACCGCTTTAAAATTATTTTGCCCACCGCAGAAAAAGCATTGAATCCGTTTTAAATATGTGGCCATGATCTATTTTGTTACACGTTGACGTTTTCCGAAGTGCCTCCTTGAATTCGAGACGAAGCTAAATTGAAAGGAGGACGCCAGTTTTGCAATAGCCTCCTTCTTTCACATTAATATGACCTACATTGGTCCAAATTAAATTTCTGAAATGACGTGAAATGTCAAATTAAATGACTTGTTTAAAGGTCTTGTTACTGAACCTGTTTTGTCTTTTCCCCAGTAAATTGAAAGGGAAATATTGAAATCATTTTGACGTCGGAAAAACACCACAGTGCTTTGGCAAGTTTCCAGTTTCATCAGAGTAATATGCTGCATTTCCCATTAGGAGGCTGACTAGTTGCCTGGGTAATGCATGGTGACATTTGAGAATACAATTTGTTTTTTCGTTTTACACCTGGTGTAATTTAAGAGAGCGCATTATTCAAACAAAAATATAGCTTCCAAAGCTATCGACTCAAAGTATTTAGTTTGCAGAATATCTCGTGTTTGAGTAATGGGGAGTAGAACGTCTGTACAAACGACTAGATGGACGTAAATGTCTTAAGGTGAAGAATATCTAATCAATCCTCACAAAGACAATACCAAAGAGCTTTATTTGAATTCCATGAATATTTATGTCGCTTTTCTTATAGGCCGAGTTGCCCTTGAGGTTAACTAATGTCGCAAGAAAACGTCTCTCTCTGAAAGGTCGTCTTCGGCAAAGTTGGAGCATCCGAGCAGGTGGAAAAAAGATGTTTTTTTTTTTTGTTTTTTTTTTACGACAATTCAACTATCCAAACGGGAAAGGGTTGTGATTTTTATATGAAATGAGGATTGCTGTTTCCACCAGAAGTAAATAAGACCACCAGATTTCAAAGATTGCTGACAAACAGAGACCAAACAGACTGGGTTAAGATTGCTCCGCGATTGCTCAAAGCAGGTATTAACTGACTTGTTTCAGCCTTACAAAGGTTCAGCGCCAAACATTTTCGGAAATGGAACAACTGATTCAATATCAAAATGTCTGCGTCTTCGCGAAAACGATGGACTTTAGCATGGAGGAAAACCAACTTGTTTACATTTCCAATGTAATGACTTGTATTTTCAACGCGTTCTTTGCTCTGCCCGCCATCGTCGGGAATGTCCTAGTTGTGATAGCGATATGGCGCACGCAGCTGAAGCGCTCTCCGTCAAATATCTTGCTTTCCACGCTGGCGTTCGCTGATCTTCAGGTTGGTCTCACAGTCCAGACGAGCTTCGTCTGCTATAAAATGGCTGAAATCTTCAGGGCAGACAAACTGGCATGTTACGGGCGCTTCGTGAACATAGTGTTTGGTTATTCGATAACTGCAGTGTCGCTGCTTACACTGACTGCCATTGCCATCGAGAGATTCCTGGCGTTGCGCCTGCACTTGCGCTACAAGGAGGTTATCACTAAAGGGCGCATATTGACAACCGCCTGTTGTTTTTGGGTGGTAGGACTAGCCGCGACCTCGCTTTATTTTATACATAGAAGTGTCTTCGGTGCAATTGTCATCATCACCGAACTCGTTTCCATTGTGGTAACCTCAGTGGCCTATCTCAAAATTTATAAAATCGTGCGACGCCACGCACGTGAGATAGAATCACAGAGGAGAGTGTCGTTAGATCCTAACGCTCAAATCGGGCTTAACATGAAAAAATACCAGCGTTCTACGTTCACAATGGTTATCGTGTTCATGTTGTCGTTTGTTTGTTATGTGCCATATTCGGGGGTAATGGCGGCGAAGCTGAAATACGGATTTACAGCAAACGTGAAAATTGCAGTTGATATTTTTTCGACTGTAGTTTGTATTAATAGCTCACTTAACCCGCTGATATACTGTTGGAGGATGAAGGAAGTAAAACAGGCTGTCTGGGCGGTAGTCAAACGTAACACAGCGGTCACTCCTGGACTGAATGACCAGAGCATGATGACATTTGCTACGATTCCTCCGCAACTGCGGCACGCAGCCGGCTCCAAAACAGTTGGAAATGGCGCGAGCAGCAAGTAATCATCGACACGCGTGTCGAAAACCCAAAGGGAACCACAGCAGGCGCAAAGTGATCTGACTTTTAATACTCAAATACCCAAATTTTACCTGAGCGTGGCATTAGAAAGGCGTCTAAAATGGCCTCATTTATCAGGAGTATTTCTATTCAGTAAGTTACCGATGATAAAGTGGGACTGGAGTTTCAGAGCCTAAAGAACAGCACCTCATGTGTATTCCACACAACTTGTACATTATATGTGTGCGGTAACTGTGTCGCGTCAGTGCTAACAGGAAGAATCTTAAACCCGTAATAAAAGTGTTGAAAAGGTTATCTATTTTTCTTCTACCGTCTCCACTTATTCCCTATTTAATGGTGTGGTTTGTTCACATTGATATGGGGAAGGAATGGATTGTCAAACACATTATGCGCGCGTGGATTAAGGTTAGTTTAGTTCAAATTGATTAAATCGCAGTCATACTGTATTTTCATGACTTTCCAAACTAGTTTTCATTGGCTGCAGTCCCTGTATTTGAAAGCAATAGAGCCTCGGGTAATTTGTCTTTTGAGCGCAAATTCTTATTCTTTTTAATTTCCTTTTAAGACACTGAATTGTCAAATTTATGAAAAATCGTGGCTTGCGTCTGTGAAAATATAAATACTAATGAATAAAAGCTGTCGGTGTTAAAATAAAAGTTGCAATATTTTTTCATTATATGTTCTTTTTCCTTCCAATTTTGGATAATCTTTAATAGAATAACACGCGGAAACCAGTCTAAAACCAACCGCGAGAAAGCCAAAATAAGTAAATTTGTTTATTGTTTGAATATCTGAACCGCAGGCTAGGGAAAGCAATGGAAATCTTCATTTCCTCTTCGGAATAACTTTTGGGTGGAAATTAACTTTGTTGGTGTTAATTGCGTCATCTGTGGTGATAACGAAAATGAATGACCTTATTGAATCTTTGACACAGCTTTTAAGACATTGAAAGCACTTATATTTGCTTAATTTTCGTTAAAGCTGAACCATTCGGGTTTTTTTGTTTTGCTATGGCCTTTAGTACTGCAAGAGTCTACCTATAATTATTTCGACACTTTCAATTTGCTGTTACCGTAATTCGTGTTTTGAACATTGTTTAGGTTGATTGATAGATCTATTTTGAATCTAATAGATCTTAAACCATATCTTTAATTTATTTTTATATGCGCATAGAGCCTGATTGTATTGTCTCACCAAGTTATTCATGGAAAGATTTCTTTATCTATCGCGTTATCTCCTGCTACATATTCTTTAGTTTTACAAATCTTCATTTATTAAATCATCGGAAAGGTTGCAGAATGTATAATTTATCACTCACACACGGCCTAATGCAAAAGAATGATACTGCCAAATATTTTACACCACCTTTATTAATCATTTGATAAGCCAAGACCACGCGAAGCTTGTATTAGTTATTTTATCAAAAGCCTTAAAGGTCATTGCCTCTGGTTAGAGGTTATAGAAATTTATAATTCATAATCTTCTCCGTATATTGGTGCCTTCTGTAATATCAGCAAATGACTTCTAAAGAGGAGATGCCATTTCCCGTCGATATGTGCCTATCGTAAAATGAAAACAAAATAACTTATTTTAATGGTATAGCCAACATATTCATGTGATAAATGGAAGAAATGAATCACCTGCAATGAAATGATCAATGAGGTAACTTTTTTCCAAAACAGATCTTCGATAATTTCACCAATAACGCATGTGTAGAAGATTCTAGGAGATCGACTTAATCAATATATCTGGCAGCTGAAATGCTACATACAACGCTTTAACAGTAGGCCACCGGTGATATATCAATATTCATAAATAGCTCGGAGGCTTTCAGGACAAACTTAAATATTTGGTGGTGTTTTCTTTGTATGCAAGTCTCTTTTGGGAATTGAGGACAAGGGAAACTTAAGCGGCAATTTTGCAATTTTGTCCTGAAAACCTCTGAGGCATGTTAGAATACTGATATATTGCCATAGCTAGAGTTCCATTCTCCTTCGCTCTTTAGCTTTATTTTAATTCATTAATTTTACTAGAGTTGTGAAATACAGCTCAAATATAAAGGTGAGTGTAAGGTGCATTCCTCTTCAGTCCATCTCATCAGCAGACGGTCATGATACATACGCACATTAAGAGGAAAATCCGCCTAAAATTAAGAGAAAGGGCTTTAAAAGTCGGTCATTTCTATTATCTTTCGCTTGGCCTTGCTTCCACCCCCAAAAAGGCAACTTCTTTTTGAAAACGTTTCAGTTATTGTGACTAGTTGTTGCTGGATATCTTCCTTTTATAACATTTTTGTAAGAAAGGTTTTTTACGGTTAGTTTGTCTTGAAAGCTACCATCAATACCGGGAATCAGTTATCACTAGGTATTTCTTGTTCTAGGTTAGTTCTGAAGGGATTCACTATATGTTAAATTCAAATCAAGATGGTAAAAACAACGTTGAATTCAACTCGTTATTCGCGCAGAAATCATGCTTGTTGTCTTAAGGGACCCCTTTTCTCCAAAAGGCTCAAACTTGTTCCCAGCACCACACGGTACGTCACGTTGTTTGTAAGTGGAAGTTATAATCAAGTTTCCAAACTAGGATGCTGCATGCGAAATCCTTGCAAGCAAATCTTATCACTATCAGGAACATTTTGAACCCAAATTAGTGAGTATTTTGAACTCAAAACAGTACTTGCACCCCATTTTCAGCTGTTTACGGTTACATGGGGTAGTTTTTATAAAAATAAGAATATCGAGTCTGAAATTTGCGAAATTTTAAGAATATTTTAAGAATAAACCTCAAGCTGAAAATTTGAAAAGACTATAATTTTGTGTGTCGGAAAATTTGTAAATACAATACAATTATGTTTTTAACTAAACGGTTTAAAATTCTTCCTTTCTCTAAACGGCAAAACTAGCCAAAAAGCAACAAAAACAGCACTAACTCTATGCTCGATGTTAAAAACATTTCTGCAAGAAGTTATGTGCGTCATATCAGTCTTTAATGCCTGCAGACTGGCTCCAAAATTATTTTATAACACCATCCGCACAACAGATACATTCAAAAACAGAAATGTCATACGCTGTAATCTAAGCCGGATATTTACAAAAATCTTTTTGCCTAAAATCAGCACAAAAATAAGTTCAGGCTGGGCTGGGAAAACAACATTCTTATAAATAAAATAAGAAAAAATAAAGAAAAAATAATAAAAAATAATAAAAATTAAGAAATAGAATAATAATAATAATAATAATAATAATAAAAAAATTGTTGCTCATGCCTTAAAGTGACGGTGACCATTAAAGCAAAGAGGAATAAGCCATTTTCGCATTGTCGGTATTGGACCGGAACTAGCCTGAAATGGAGGATCTTGAGGGGGAATATCATTGAAGAGGGATAAATGCTATTTGCGTTTGAAAAGACTCCCCACTTGAGCCTCAGTTGCAAGCTAGTTCCAGTCCAATACCGAGAACACGAGACTGGTCTATTTTATTGGGTAGAATCGACAGAATATGTGGGCCGATACTGAATAAAATTGAAGTTTGTGTTTCACAAGCTGATCAATCACTCGGCGCCTGCTGACGTGTGAAAGTTACGTCACTGTTATTTGTTCAAATAAAATGTGCAACTTGGGAATTGTCTTTGGCTGCATTTACTTACTTTAATAAAGTTCAGCTGACGTAGGTAAAACCTACGCGCTATACTTGAGATCCGGTGAGGATTTTTCCATTATCGCGAAAATTTAGCATCGCAACGAAATCAAAACCAGGCGAAAATGTACGCTTTATTAGCTGCATTAATTTCATGGCATTTCAAAGCATTTCTATGCCACTCTTACGCTTTTCATCAGTTTCATGGTTTTTATGTCTCAACAGAGTTTGCTGTTGTCGATTTAATATGGATTGAATTCAGTTTGCCGTGAAAAGGATCATAGGGGGCGCGTTCTGGATTGCCGAGACGTGCGTTTCCTGTAATTGCTTGCCCTGATTTATGCTTTTGTTGCTGATTATATTTTGTAATACGTGTATACACCATCCACATGCATTTTAACGAAGAATGGAAGAAATATAAGGAAAAGGTATTTACTGAAAGAGATTTATGAAAATACCNCTTTAATTTATTTTTATATGCGCATAGAGCCTGATTGTATTGTCTCACCAAGTTATTCATGGAAAGATTTCTTTATCTATCGCGTTATCTCCTGCTACATATTCTTTAGTTTTACAAATCTTCATTTATTAAATCATCGGAAAGGTTGCAGAATGTATAATTTATCACTCACACACGGCCTAATGCAAAAGAATGATACTGCCAAATATTTTACACCACCTTTATTAATCATTTGATAAGCCAAGACCACGCGAAGCTTGTATTAGTTATTTTATCAAAAGCCTTAAAGGTCATTGCCTCTGGTTAGAGGTTATAGAAATTTATAATTCATAATCTTCTCCGTATATTGGTGCCTTCTGTAATATCAGCAAATGACTTCTAAAGAGGAGATGCCATTTCCCGTCGATATGTGCCTATCGTAAAATGAAAACAAAATAACTTATTTTAATGGTATAGCCAACATATTCATGTGATAAATGGAAGAAATGAATCACCTGCAATGAAATGATCAATGAGGTAACTTTTTTCCAAAACAGATCTTCGATAATTTCACCAATAACGGATGTGTAGAAGATTCTAGGAGATCGACTTAATCAATATATCTGGCAGCTGAAATGCTACATACAACGCTTTAACAGTAGGCCACCGGTGATATATCAATATTCATAAATAGCTCGGAGGCTTTCAGGACAAACTTAAATATTTGGTGGTGTTTTCTTTGTATGCAAGTCTCTTTTGGGAATTGAGGACAAGGGAAACTTAAGCGGCAATTTTGCAATTTTGTCCTGAAAACCTCTGAGGCATGTTAGAATACTGATATATTGCCATAGCTAGAGTTCCATTCTCCTTCGCTCTTTAGCTTTATTTTAATTCATTAATTTTACTAGAGTTGTGAAATACAGCTCAAATATAAAGGTGAGTGTAAGGTGCATTCCTCTTCAGTCCATCTCATCAGCAGACGGTCATGATACATACGCACATTAAGAGGAAAATCCGCCTAAAATTAAGAGAAAGGGCTTTAAAAGTCGGTCATTTCTATTATCTTTCGCTTGGCCTTGCTTCCACCCCCAAAAAGGCAACTTCTTTTTGAAAACGTTTCAGTTATTGTGACTAGTTGTTGCTGGATATCTTCCTTTTATAACATTTTTGTAAGAAAGGTTTTTTACGGTTAGTTTGTCTTGAAAGCTACCATCAATACCGGGAATCAGTTATCACTAGGTATTTCTTGTTCTAGGTTAGTTCTGAAGGGATTCACTATATGTTAAATTCAAATCAAGATGGTAAAAACAACGTTGAATTCAACTCGTTATTCGCGCAGAAATCATGCTTGTTGTCTTAAGGGACCCCTTTTCTCCAAAAGGCTCAAACTTGTTCCCAGCACCACACGGTACGTCACGTTGTTTGTAAGTGGAAGTTATAATCAAGTTTCCAAACTAGGATGCTGCATGCGAAATCCTTGCAAGCAAATCTTATCACTATCAGGAACATTTTGAACCCAAATTAGTGAGTATTTTGAACTCAAAACAGTACTTGCACCCCAT